ATCTAATAATTCCTCTATGTTGCTTAATTTTATGAGTAGAGTATTAATTGATTTCTCTGCGGAGTGTATTATTTGGCCCAGGTTACAACCATAAGTAACAAGTAATTAACAGTGAACAGAAATAGAACAAGGAATATTCAGACGACGCTCGATGCAGCGAAAATTCCATTTTGGCCAACATTTTCAAAGAAGTTGGCACCGTGCAATTTCGAAATTGTTCCCAGGAACGTCAACCAACAACGCGGCCCTTCGCGACGAGCATCGGGCTCGTAATTCGCTCCTCGGGAATCCAGTCGCGGCTGGCAAAAAAGGAATTGATACACACGCAAAAATCCCGTATCATCCGCGAAAGGTTAATTAAAACCTATCAGACGTCGTGGATAAAGGAAGAGATCGCGGGAAAACGGTCTGACAGTTTAATTAAAACCGTAGATGAGTTCCGAAGAGCGCGTTAAATCGTCGGAACGACGGCATAAGCGGAAAGAAGCCTGAAATCCGTACCTTCCAACGTCTCGCGGTGCAACGCCCGGGCGAAAGCGTTGCTAAAGAGCATCGGCTACATCCCGATTTCACCGGCAATCCGGGAGATTCGGGTAAATAAGAGGCGGCCGTCGGGTTTATCCAGAATTCGACGTGAGCGGAAGCGAAACGAGTCCCTTTTATCGACAGATATCCACCTAACCAGCCGGCTTTCCTTCGCGAACTTTACGACGCCGCGCCGGACCGGCTCTTGCTCTCTCTCTCTCTCTCTCTCTCTCTCTCTCTCTCTCTGTTTCAGCTTTTATCGGGCATCCTTCCATCGCTTCGGCGACAGTGTATTTATCCGCAGACAGTCCGCGTAAGACCCTGAATTTATTTATAAGCGGCCGGGACACTCCGAGGCAAACAAAGCGTGCAACTGCGGAATCCTCTTTGCCTGTCCGCGTACACTTCGCCCATCAATTATACACCTGGAACGCTGGTTCTCGTCGGTCACTCGCGAGTAATTCGTTTCACGGAATCGAGCTGCGTCGGAGCAACGAGCGAGGAGAGGGAAGATAAGGAGATTGACATTCGATAAGCAAAAACGATAGGGGCTGCGCGGCCCATTGGGCTCCCTTGACAGAGGGTTGAGCACTAAACGCGACTATGTACATTGTTTTATAACAACGACAAGATCGGAATTATTTCTTCATTCGATTTCTATTGTAATACGTGCTTTAATCAAAATAAAGCAATAAGCAAAGGAATTGAATGAAGTGTGAAGCAAACTTCGAGCAAAAAGGAATTTGCATATTCGAGACATTTGTACGAGTGCAACACAGCTATTAACCCTTTGCACTCGAAGCTATTTTAACTGTAAATCTAAAATCATTTTTCTGACTTATAGTATTTTCATTTTGTATGACAAAGTGCATTTGATGCATATGAAATTGAGTCTTGTGATTCACACACATTTTAAATCTAAACTTTGTTAATATAACGATTACCTTAGAACGTGATATAACAAATTTTAGTGGTGTCTCAGAGTCATCACTCGAGTGCAAAGGGTGAAACTTTCATATGAAAATGGTATGGTAAACGTTACCTTTCCAAATGATACAGAAAAGATTCATTCAGTGGACAGATCGTCAGTTAACTCTGACGAATATACTCGTCACGAAGAAGTGACAGTATTTTGTGCCATATCAGGTATACTCGTAAAAAGTAGTGACCATTGGCTATTTAAATTGTAATTTTAGAAAAAGCAAAGACATATTCCAAAATTTCAAGATGTTCAGAATATTTACAGGTCAATTCTGCACGAAAGTGTTTACATTGTCATAAAAATAAGATTAGAAAAGAATCACGATATTGGTGTTCGACGTGCAAAGTGCCATTATGCGTTGTTCCTTGCATTGCTATAAGTATTCGATTTTTCCTGCGTTCTTCGTTTATTATGTACCTAGTACAGTAATGTCTCCCTAACTGACGCTAAGATTGTGCAGAAAAATGGACAATTTGGGAAAAGGAGATACGATTATTCGAGATTATTGCGGTTCGTTGGAATTGTCAACAACTATAAAAAACGAGCTACAAGGCTCGAATAATCGTATCTCCTCTTCCCAAATTGTCCATTATTGTGGAAAACCTGGTCGTCAATTAGGGAGACATTACCGTATATATTAATGTTACATGAACAAATAAATATAAGTAATAAAATTGTTAATTTTATAAAATAAAACCGTCTCCTTGATCCAACATTTTAAAAGCGTCACTTACTCCGTGTTTGTCGAGTATACTCGTCATCGCTTGATTCCGGCGACATACATAGTTAGTCCACCTTTTCCATCCTCGACTGTTCCACCGTTGAGAATCCATTTCGATGAATCTTCACCACCAAGCGCGGATTGATTTAACCTCGCGCACGACCGAGGAACAGCTTCCTGTCGACAAACAACGGAAATCGTTAAACGGATTATCTCAAAGGACTCCGTTGCGTTCGTATCGCTCGGTCCAGCGTTGCTCGCATCTCGACGGCGAAGCAGACGCGCGCAATACGCGAACGCAATCTCGTATTAGCGTTAAATCCATGGTGCACACGTGCGCAACACTATACGCGGCCCTGTCTCTATCGCACGCCGTCCCTGTGTGTCCGACGTCGTTATATAAACGGTTATACCCGGTAATTGCAGAGTTGTTGTCCCGCAGGAACGGAAGGAGCTGGAACAAAGCGCTGGTGTTAATTAGCCGGCGACGCCTGGATTAAAGGTATCGCAGGAGGCTCGAGGATTCCGTGCGGAATCGTGTACCGGCGCCCAGTGGCGTCGATAGAAAATTTGTGACGGTGTTGCTGCAACTTGTTCCAGTCGATTTATTTATCCGCGATTGCAGCCGCTCCAACCTCGGCAAGCTAACTCTTGGGTACTTTGGATCGGTTCGCGTAATTTGTCGCTAGCAGCGCGCTGGCCTTTGCTCGACATTTTGTATCTCGCTTTTATCGATAGCGAAATGAAATAGCCAAATCTGCGAAAGTACCCAGGGCTTGAGAGCGAGAATTAATTTTCGTTTAATTCCTGTTCGGTGCGATCGAAGCAAAAAAATTTTTATCTCGCGGAAAGATCGCCGCAAGCTTGGTAGCTTGTGTACGAAATTTTTGATACGTGTCCGGCTCGTTACAACGCGTGACATGGAACTCTCTCTTACGTTCGGCACGGATAAAACAGTTTATGAAGGCGGAATTTACAATAAAAGTCCAGAGAAATCGTTTCGCGACTCGTCATCGGAGGCCCATAAATTTCCTCTCTATATCGAGGCTCTAATTTCTCGGCGCAATTCGGATCTAATATGACAGCGAGATCGAATAAAATCGCAATAAAATCAAGCGTCGCATAAGCCCGGACTGTTTCAAAGCCTTCCCCCGGTGCTTGGAGGATCGGGATGGCCCGCCGGTAGAAAGCCCGATCGGCAATAAAAGCGCTCTAAAATGTTTGTCGAAGCCGTCAGAGCGGGGCCGGGGCCCCCGAGGCAAACGACATCCCGCTAAAATAGAGAAATTATTCCGAGCGATTTCTCGCGGGATTGACTCCCCGCCGCGCCGTTGTAATTGAGATGCGAAATAATAGCGAGATGCGGATGCCTCGCGTTATATTCTCTCCAGATTCCAGGATGGTAATCGGACGCTTTGCCGAGCAAACATGGTTGGAATTAATCGCGAGTTGCTTGGGGCATCGACGTCGGCGATGCGGCCTCAAACAGAGGCCTGGAATTAGTCTACGCGCAGATTTACTCTAATCGTTGCGCGTCTGCACTTGCGCCAAGAAATCATCTCTGTTCACCTCTGTTCGTTACGTCGGACCACGCAATTTGCCGAATGATTCGCATACGCGAGTTCGAACGTGCTAAACTATCGACCCCGAAACTTCTACCGTGTTAATCCAACGCCGAGTCAAAGCATTTTGAAAATTCCTCGGGCAATGAGCAGCTCCGGTATCAAACTATTACAACTCCGACATTTTACTCGGGCCACGAACAAACGCTCCTCGACAAGTTCGCCGAATTTTTGTACCAATCCCTTTGTAATACTATCTGCATTTGTCTCCAATTGCCTGTAATTGTCTCCAATTGTCTGCAACAGATGCAGAGAATTTTTACTTTGCATAGAGATCGGCCGTCTCGTAATAACAAACGAAGCAAAGGCTAAAATAATTTTGAGTTAGTAGGGGAAGTATCATTGGCAACATAGGTCAAGGAGGAAAGGTCACCGACAGGTGCTCCCCTATTGTAAATACTTACGACACTACTCCAATCTAAATAACGAAATCGAAGTCTGAGCAAATAGTTGGAGCACGAACAAACGCTCCTCGACAAGTTCGCCGAATTTTTGTACCAATCCCTTTGTAATATTGTCTGCAATTGTCTTCAATTGTCTGCAACAGATGCAGAGAATTTTTACTTTGCATAGAGGTCCGCTGTCTAATAATAACAAACGAAGCAAAGGCTAAAATAATTTTGAGTTAGTAAGGGAAGTATCCTTGGCAACGTAGGTCAAGGAGGAAAGGTCACCGACATGTGCTACCCTATTGTAAATACTTACGCTACTCCGATCCCTTTGTAATATTGTCTGCAATTCTCTCTCTCTCTCTCTCTCTCTCTCTCTCTCTCTCTCTCTCCAATTGTCTGCAACAGATGCAGAAAATTTGTACTTTACCGCCGCAAACGAAGCAAAGGCTAAAATAATTTTGAGTTAGTAGGGGAAGCGTCCTTGGCAACATAGGTCAAGGCAAGGTCACCGACAGGTGCTTCCCTATTGTAAATACTTACGCTACTCCGATCCAATTGACGAAATCGAAGTCAAAGCAAATAGTTCGCATACTTTGCCTAAACGATGGGCCGCGGCAGCGAGGAAGAGGAACGAGGGTAGCATCAATCTTCATACACCCGGGATCTCGTTGACATTATCCGCGTGAGCGACCCTCTCCCAGCGTCGACGGCGACACGGTGGGGACGACGTGAACCCCTCTACGGGTAAAAAGGAGCCTCGCCAGCTAATTGTCACACACTGTCCGATCACTTGTCACCCGGGATCCAATAGTCACAGCGCGAGCTCCGTTCAAGGGAGCCTCCCTCCGATCGCGTCGCAAATGCAACGAAGTTTAGCTGCACGAGCAGAGTGACGAACACTCGTGCAAGAAACATTACTCGCGTCTGTTAGAATTGAAGGCGACACGATGCCCTGGTACGTGGAACCCGCGATGAAGGCGTCTTTCGTTGGTCAGTGAAGTGGATTCTTGTTCACAGTGAATATTTCTGGCTGATTGTTTCCTGGATCCTCGTGAACGAACTCGTGGCCATCGATACGAGGCGCGGCAACGATCGTCGGGAAGAATGGGTCGTCAGGCTCGAGGGCGGGCCTCGAATTTCCTCGCTCCTGGCTCTGCAATCTGGGTACAGGCATCTTGGACCGGTGAGTGCAACGATTTTGAATGCGGAAAGTCGCCGCCCGGTTCTTGTTTCTTCAACGATCGCCTCGATCCGATTCGAAACGACCCACGAAGAGTCGAATTTCGTTGAGAAATTTGCTGCATTCGTCGCCGAAATGCGGTCTCGTTTTTTAAGGGGAACCGGACAGCCGTGGTCGGACAGTTTGCTAACAAGAGATCGTTGATTCTCGTGGCCTGAAACAGTTTTCTGATTTTAGTAAGGACTAAGGAAACCTATTGGGTTGAGGAATAAGTTCGTAGCGTTTTTATTTGAAGGCGATTTTCTTTGTTGTTTTCGTTAAGCTCGCGAGGCACCCGGGCTCCCAATTTTTCGGCAAATCCCATTGAATGAAGATGATTCAGAATCGTTTTATGATCGCAGTTCATTTTTTTCGGATAATTCAAGACTTGTTTGGTGACCGTCCTCCGTCAAAAGTGCTTTGAGACGATCTTCGTCGAATTCAGAAGGTCTTCCGCTGCGGAGCGTGTCGTCGACGTCAAAATCGTCATTTTTGAACTTCGCAAACCATTTCCGTGTTGTAGAATCGCCCATGACACCTTCTACGTATACGTTGCAAATGTCCCGGGCTGCTTCAACAGCTTTTCGGCCTCGATGAAAAGCGAAGAAGAGAAGCTGTCGAAAATGTTGGTTTTTACCTCCTGGATATTCCATTTCTAAGCCTCGAAAGTAATAAAACATTAAATTACTCAAAAAGACGATTAGCACAGTTTTGTAGAGCAGAAAGAGCTCTATCGAATGAATGTTATACACTTTGTCAAACAGCAAAAAATCGTTGTAAAATAAAAGAAAATATAAAAACGCTACGAACTTATTCCCCAACCTAATAGCTACATCGTAAGGAGATTCGGACAGTCGTGGTCAGACAACGTGGAACAAAACGTAATGGAACAAAACAATTTTTAATTTTACTAAAAATGTAGGAGGAAACTCCATTTCTAGGAGATTCAGACAGTCGTTGACATCACTTCGTAATCGAGACTTCGTTGGAACAGTGACACAAAATAATTCCGAAGTTCGCTTGAAATTACGAATAAAAATGCAAATTCGATTTTTCAAGAGATTCGAGCAATCGATAATCAGACAAATCACAGATAGTTTAATTTTTAAGGGAATCCAGACACTCGTTGTCGGACGTACCTTACATTAAAAATCTCGTTCGAATTTCTCAATCGAAATAATCGAAGCAACGAGTTTTTGTTAATCCGAAACTTTCTTAAGCTGAGAAACTCGCGATTGTTAAGGGAATACAGAAAATCAGTGGCGAACGCCTCGCGCAGTCAAGATTTGCAGAACGTACGACGAAAAGAGCTCCGTAAATTCCGTGGAAATTGGGTCAACGCGGACAGAGAAAATAGCCGTAAAACGTTGTTCAGCATTTGCGACTCGCGATGTTTTTCGAGTCGGTTGACACCCCGGAGAAAAAATGGCGGTGCTCCCGGCGCGGAGAACTCGCCGGTAAGCCACGGAATAAGTTTGTCAAGGTAGCGCACGGCTCCGCGAACAGAAGCACCGCGAGACGCAATTAAAACTTGAACAACTGCTTAATAACTTATTGTTAGCCACTTGTGCAACGTCCAATTCCAGTTTAACTCCAGGCCGGGGCATTCACGGTATCGCGACTTAACTTCCGTGTTTATCTCAGACAGAGGCGGGGGCGAGCGAAGTGAAGTTAACCGGTTCGCGAAAGGAAAATTTATCGCAACAGAAGGGAAATTATTTCGCGAGGCATCGACGGGAGTAAGGGTGTTTATCCGCGCGGGAAACGCTTCGGCGGAATCGCGGAATTTTCACCGGCGTTCGGGCGACGAAGCGGCCGAGGCGAGCGGAGCGGCAAGCGGCCGGATTAAGATTTCAATGTCGGACGTGTTCAATTAACATTTTAATAAGAGAGCTGTCGGACACCAGATGCGATGCCCGACGAGGTGTTTCCATGTCTGATAATCCGCGACGAGTCACTCTAATCTCAAGTGTTCGTTAAACAAGCCGAGGGAAAGCGTCCGGTCGATTTCAGCCGTGACGCAAACACGGATCGCCGAGAGCTGCGAAGCGACCTGTTACCATGGAACACCCACGATTCCCTTTCCAACACCCGGAACGCAAGGGCACGCAGCGTGAAAAACCGAACCGCCCCCGCGAAAAACAATCGCCGCGCACACCCTCCGGTCACGAATTCGCGTCTGCGTAAGCCTGCGTTGCATACTTCGCGCGGAAAATGTAAATCGCCGTTCGAATTCACCGTCTTTTGTCCCGCGAAGTTTTCATTTTGTCCGCGGAAAATTGCAATTAACATTTCAACACCGGGCAACATTTTCACCGAACCGTTCGACTACCGATGAAAATTATATTAACGATGTCTTAACGATATATCGGCGATATCGCTACGGTACTTCGTTAAGACGAGGCGAAAGGTCAAACTGGCTGGTCAAATTGTGCCGATATGGTATCGGAACGAATTTTATTTGGAAAAGAACAGAATGTTTATTTAAGCGAAATGGATTCAGTTATTAAATTTCCGTCCGCCGATATTTATACAGCATCGGTTCAGATTTCATTCAAATTCTATGGACCGAAAAGACAAACATCGATTCATGCGGAGAAATTCATTTCAAGAGTACATGGTTCCGGTTCGCGTGGGCTAACCAATTGCTTGTTAAATTATTTATCCCTTTATTTTATTTAGCTCCAAACCCCCTAAAAAAATTCACTATTTTCTATTCGACAAATATAAAGTTAATTATGCAGGAAAACAAATGGAAGCCGCGGTCGTCCCATAGCAAAGTCGTGCATTATTCGAATAAAATTTGATTCCACCTACATTTCGAACGAATTTCTCGTATAAATTTTACGAGTAACTTTTTCGTATAAATTTTACGAATAATCTACCGAATAAATTTTTCGAATAAAATGTTCTTCGTTATTCGAATAAAATAGGCCCCCCTCCCACGGTGGCCTGGGGATTACAGAGCCATTCAATTTTGAGATTCGGTGTCCCATCTGAATTTCCATAAGAATGTCAGCGTAAGCGGAAGATCATGACGGTTCCCCGTGACACGGAGCTAATGATGCAGGCTGTCCCGGACAGCCTTCTCTACGACGAAAATAAATGTTCACGCTCGGTCAATTACATCAGGATCGGACAACAGCGGGCACCGATCCGGGGACCGTCGAACCGATTGGCTAAAACATCATCGCGCTGGGAAACGGGGCTTGCGAACGGGGCGGCGTAGGATGAGGAAAGGAGGTTTGATATCTTTGGCCGACGGGCGTTTTCTCTCGCGCGACTTGATCTCAAGGCGGAACTCGTTTTGCAAAGTGCACGAGCCAAGAGAGATCCCCGGCCGATGTCTAAGGTGAATCCCGGGGTTGGAAACGGAGGGAGAGAATGGCTGGAACGAGCGATCAAATGGTTCGTGAGGCTTGCTTACCGAGATAATCTCTTTGCAGCGATCCGTGCGCCCCGGGAGGAAACGATTTGGCCGCAGTTTTTCGACGGGGAGCCCCGGTACATTCAGGTCCCGCCACGGATACCCGAATGCTTCAGATACGTTTACGCTCTCGCGCAGATTTACCGAGCCGAGCCTGAACGGACGGTCTTGGAAAAATCTACCTCGCGTGTTCAAAGGGCCGAGAGGGGATGGGAGGAGGGAGCAAGAATTCAGGCGTCGGTATTTCCAACAGGCCACAAAGCGGAAACTCCGCCGGGCAAATTGAGACCGTGATCATCGAACAACGATAAATTCCTGTGCGTCGTGTCGAGGCACTCGTGAATTAGGCTTCCGCAGATTAGGCTTCCTCTTCTCGGTTATTTCGAATCATTCGCTGGGGTTTGTTCCGTGGTCGAGTCTCTTTGAACGGGAAACTGATGCCTAATCGCTGGAAGACTCGTTGATCAACGCGATTTGCCACGCGATTTCTTAGCAGGTGTTTGTCGTTGATGAATTCTTACGAGAGCAAGAAAATTTATATTTATCGCAGTTAAAAGAAGCGAGTAACACGCACATTTACTAGAGTTTTGGATGATATTCGCAGAGGATAAGATTCATTCTTCCTTCTTCAACTCTTCTCGATAGCTTCGATAGAATTTTATGCAAAAGGAAAGATGTCTACATCGATTGCCAGAAATAGAAACTAAATAAAATGTTCATTCTTTTTCTGACAATTTTATAAGATTGAAAATAGTACAATGAATGCTTCTAAGCTCTTTTAATCCTCCTACTATTTTAAATTAGAAACTATTCAATTATCAGTTGTAGCACTTTTGTTTAAAATATTAAAAAATATATTATTACATATAAATAGTAAAATAATAAAGAATATATTATAACGTATAAATAGTAAAATAATAAAACATACATTATATTATATAATATTAAAACATAATATTAAAACATAATATTAAAACATATGCTTGAATAATATAAAATTATCCGATTCTGCGACGGCTAACTTTCTCCCGACGTGAACCCACTGTTTGTATTTTCGAAGATCAGACTGACGATACGCGGTCTCAAAGATGAGCTCGACAAACGAACAGTAAAAATGTTCTCGTATCAATCGCAGAATCGCCTTTGCGAACGGCGCCAGCTAACGGCGCCAGCTAACGGCGAAAACAATTCAAAAGCTCCATCCGCGGGGAAAAAAAGCGGCCCCGAGGTGTTCGCCGACGTGAACAGCGTTGAACGTTATGGTCGGAATTGCCGTAATCGCTTTGGTGCGTGCAGAAGTGACGCGTGTTTTCAGAACATCAGCCGGAGCATAGTGGGATCGGGCAGCGCTGCATAATTACGCGAACCGAGTGGCTCTGCTTTTTCAACCGTTTCACCTGGCCGTCCCCGCAGTCGAGCACCGTGGCTCCACGGCCGCGAAACTGCATTCCCCTGCAGCTGCAGCCGACTGGCGCAGTTCTAGCTGCACAGGAGTCTCGCGGCCGACCGCAATCCGCGCGCCGAGAGCGCGATTCCC